GAAGCACCTTCACCAAATACAATGTTATTCCGACACAAGTTCTGCCAAACTCTATTGTAGCCAGCATGACTTCCGTCAAGTTCTGTCGTTGCTTCAACAACCCATGTGGGGACTTATAGTTTTAGGCAGCTTCTGCATTGATTTGAAAGAGTGGTCTTGCTTCATTCCATTTTGAAAAATAATCGACCGTTACCAAGAGAAACTTTTGCGGGCCTCTTGACGAGGGAAATGGCCCAAGAATGTCAAGTCCCTACATGAGAACGACCAAAGGCTAGCTTCCAAGTGAGCTGATGATGTAAATGCACGTATTATTGACATTGCTAGCACCTTTTTGAGAATTTTGTCGCATTTTTCAAGAGTGTCGGCCAAAAGTTCCCCTACCCTTGCACGTGGTAAGCTAGAGTCTTTAGTTCAGATTGGCTACAACACTCTCCAAAATGTATCTCCCGGAGCACATCTTTGACTTCACCCTCTCTCAAGCACCTTAGGAATACCGAAGTAACCGACCTTCTAAATAACTTCTCTCAATTACTAGATATAGGGCGTCTTTGATTTTACAATGCCTGGGATCTTTGATACTTTTTATACTATCCCAGTCTCCAAGTAGTGGATGTATGAATCCATCCAACTCTTAGTCTCGTCAACCCTACCTTCATGATCTCCAGTTCGTCGATTGTTGGCCTGGTAAGTTTTCTGGGCATTCCTCCCAAACAGATGCATTTGGAGAGGATATCAACAACTTGATTATGCTCCCGACTGACGTGTTCGATGCAGAAGTTCTTGAATCTTCTGATTTCCTTTTTTATATTAGAGAGGTATCTAGCCATCAGCTCATCTTTAGCTTCAAATTTCTTGTTAACCTAATTTGCGACTAGCAAGGAGTCAGACCTTCCTAGGATGTTCCAAGTGTTTATCTCGCATGCTAGTCAGAGCCTAGTAATTAGTGCTTCGTACTCTGTCTAATTATTCATAATGTCAAACTCCACCGATATCGTCTCATAGAGATGCTCCACGGCTATGTTGCATAGGGTCAGCCCTACTTCTGTTGTTGCATGTTTGGAGGCTCATACGACATATACGATCCACATCTTGTCTTCAGTGATAATTCTCTCTACCGACTCCTTTGTCATGGAGAAGTCAGTCGGAAAGTCTGTGATTGCTTGGCCTTTAACTACCATCTGAGGAACATAGTTGATATTGAATTTGTTGAGCTCTACCACCAATTGCAGTAGTCAATTGGAGTGCTCCAACTGTGTAAGCACAAATCTCAAAGGATGGTCTATGATGACTCGGATCAAATGCATCTGGAAGTATGGTTTTAGCTTGCGAATGGAAATAATTAAAGTGAAGGTTTGTTTTTCCATAATTTGGTACTTGATTTTGGCACCATGAAGCACTTGGCTTGTGTAGTAGATCAATATTGTTTTCCCACCTCCTCTCAGACTAGAATTGAGCTTACAACCTCTCGCACGACTATAAGGTACAGTGACATCTCTTTCACTGATTTCGGGCTTTGGAGCATTAGTGTGGATGCTAAGGAATCCTTCAAGTTTCCGAAAGCCTCGTTGTCATCTCCAACACTTATGCACAAGTAGTAGGTTTAAACGGGTTTATTTCATACTTAAACCATTTTCTACAAATTCCTCGCTTCAAAGATGTTTTGGGTATTTCAAGCTTCAGATTTCTAACTCTCAGCATCTCGATTTGGAAACGGGTGATGCAGGCGGATAAACTCTCTTTCTCTCCCTGCTTGATGTCAAGTAAGGTGTCCAAGTCTTCATCGGTTTCTGCACTTTTTAGAAGTGTGAAATGAAGAGTCTTTTAAAATCATAATAAGTTGGGATGGTTTCGATCAGCAGGCTATTAAACCATCGAAGGGGTGATTCCTTTTGGGTGGTTAAGAAGAGGCGACAAATTATGGGGTTATTGATCTGGAGCAGATCGATAGATGACTTGAACAATGCTGCATGGTTGATCAGGTAGGTTCTCCCTTTGAAAGAGCCCAAGCAAGGAATTCATAGCTTGGACGGTGGTACCGCCTTTTTAATTTGGTGAGTGAAGACCCCTTCTATGAGCGGCCACACAAGCACTCACATATGCTCCTCCCATTGCTTGTTCATCTGCGTAGACGTGGTTGTGTCGGTGTATTAAGACTCACCTTGCCCCCTCTGTCCGCTAGTTGTTGACCTGGTTATGTGAGATAGATAGATTCCTTGATGGGGGCTTTTGGGGATGCCCTGAGGTTCCACTTCTAAGCAAGGCGCCTGGTCGTTCCTCTGGGTGATTGTTGCTTAAAGGAACTCTAATTGCTCCATCGAGGGTCATCTGGGCTTGTAAGCCCTGAACAAGCACTTTGACGTCTGGTTGTGCTTCCTTATTGGGTTTCATGCATGTAATTTCTCTTTCAAAAGTTTCTCCTTCGTAGTTAGCCCTGCTTCTTGTCTGGGGCATGACCACTCTCATCGCACCACCTTTCAGGATGTTGGATCTCGGATTGTCTTTCATGAACACGTTTCGAGAGTTAGAGTCGAGTGAAGAAGAGAATAAAGTGAACCAAGAGTTGCTGTGGAGAGTTTCAGGAGATAGTCCTCTTATTCTTATTTTTTCTTCTACTTATAAAGGTGTATTTTGTGCAATTACATAAAAAAATGAACAGTTATGAAAATTGCTCTTAATATGATCAATGATCTAATAAATCGTACGGATTTCATTTCAGATATGTTTTATACTTTGAATCTTGATTTGTCAATAATTAGTTCATCGACTTGCTAGAATTCAGGTGACTTTAGCGATCGACTGAGTGGAGACCGTGTCTTGTTTTGGTCGACCAAGGCGTTCGATTAAATGACGATCTCGTTTGCCATGGAAAAAGTTGGTCGATCATCCAATTGTGATCAGGGGATTTATGCCTACGCTTTGATCGGTCACTCAGTTGATCAACTGATTAGTCAATTTGCTTTGTCGGGCGAATAATGGCTCACGTGTCGCTTGACTCAATTCTTATGGGGCCTGCGTCTCGTCTATCTGGTCGGTTCATCACCTCACTCAAATACCCTATTTACAATGTATAGGGCGGATCTTGTCGCTGCTTGTGAGAGGTATCTGATGAGACTTGCTGCCATGATGAATCACGTCTCGCCCTTGACAGACCTTGTCACTATCAGGCATGGGACCATCTCCAAAGCTTTGATATGTTCCGTGTTTAGAGGTGTGGCTTCACCTGCTTGGCACTGACTTATTGATCCACTGTTTACCATTGGGAAAAATATTTTATCTTTGGTCATAAGTTGTACTTGAGATTCGTGTCGGTAGCTCTGCAGAGTATGCCCCCTGGGGTCGAAAGGAATGGCCTGAGGCTATTATACGAGTCTCAGGCATCCCCAATGCACCTAATAATTCGAGTACCACATCCTCTACCGGGGGGAATCGAACCCCAGATAAGAGTGGACTTACAACTGACAAGCAGATGCCTGACCAACTGATCTAAGCACGCAGTGCAAAAAAAAATCAAAATTATTAATTTTTTTTTTATACCAATAGGTTAATAATAAATAAATTGTACATAACCAACATGAGGCTCATATTCAACAAATCACAATATTCTAAACATTTTTTTAAATATTTTACAGCATATTTTTGCCATCTAACTCTAATGCTCATTAGAGCTTACCCATAGATCAATCAACAATGAGAGGCAAAGCTGATCAACATAAACAAACTATTTGATTTTGGTCAATTTAGTCTAAACATTCCACCTAGACTTTAATCCAAGCATAATTAGAATATAAAAAACAATGTAATTGATGTTAAATTTTAATCTTCAAATACATAATGCTATTCCAAAATGCATAAAAGCAGCATAAACTCATTCACATTCAAATACAAAAAAGAAAATAAGTGCATATAAGCTGGGGTGAAACTAGACTATTAGTCGGTTTGGGGTAGCTGAAGTTTATTAATAAATTGTTGATGAGCTGTTGATAAGCTACTGAAAAATAATATGTTGTTCAAAAAAGTTGTGGCGATTATTACAATTTTTTTTTTTAGAAAAGTCAAACGGCCGCTAGAAAATTGTCACCGCACTATGCCAAGAACGATGTGAAAACGCTAATTTCAGCAGTTTGAAAATGTTGTTTTTTGAATAAACTTCCAAAACACAATTTACCCAAACGGGCCGGGCCTGAATGTGTTTTTAAAACGCACTACACCAAATAAGCTGCCCCAAACGGGGTCTATGTCTAGGGCAGACAATTGCTCACCATAGAATTTGAGACTCGTTATAACTAGTAAACTTTAATATTTGTTTCTATATATTTTGAGTATTTTGCACCCCCAATATAATCGTTTGTCTAATGCTTAAAAGAAATTAAACATTTGATGATTTTGCTAATCATAAAAAATTAAACTGCTTCTGCTGTATTGTATAAGCTTTCATATGCATAAAAATATACATATCATTTATATTTTAAGCCAATCTCAAGCCGACTCAATTCAAAACCAACTTGAAGATCAGACTGGGCTAACCCCCTAACTTGTGACTCGATTAAAGCCAAAAATCAATTCAATCCTCGAACAAATTTTAGCTATAAACTCCTAACCATATAGATGATCTTATGTGACGACAAACTCAGGAGCAAAACCAACATTATCTTTTAGAGCGAGTAAAATCATCAAATATAAATGCAAAAAATAATATTTCAAACATCTTACATCTATCATTCATCATTGACACACAACATAAAAACATGAAAGCAATTTCTATTACTTAAAAAACAACAATAATAAATAAGTATAAAATCATTCCATAACCATATGCTTGACACTACATACATTGAAACTTTTCGGTACATTTATACGCATACCATCAAATTCCTATCTATTTCCATTCCAAACCCTCTACCTTTTTACATTTCCCACATTCATATCTTTCACATCTCATCAAAAACACCATTATTTTAACCTTTAAACCCCAAAAAATACATTTTTTTATGCATAAATAAAGAGGGATACATATACTAAGTAAAAAATTGAAGTATATATGTCAAATGTGCAAATACATAACAATTAAATGGTATATATACAAAACTTCCATCTAATAACCGCATACATCACAACCGCACAAGATTCCTGAAACAATATGTTCCAACAAGGAACCAACCAACGAGCGCGAGCCCAAACCCACCGATAACTGCGAGGAAATTCGTGCCGCCCAACAGAAACCCTAATCCGAGCACAGATACGGGAGGCAGGAAGGACTTCAGCACAGCGATTCTATCGACCCAGATTCCTCTGAAGAAGATCAGAGCTGCTAGATTCACGACATTCCATCTTCTGTGTCCGGCGTAGCACAGGCGATTCAGGCAGTTGGCGACGAAGCAGTGGCAGTTGCAGGTGAGAAGGCTGTAAGATCTGTGCTGGAAATCATGCGTGCTGTTTCTGAGAGCTGAGTCCCAGGTGATCATCTCATTGCTTTCCAAGGCTTCGTTTTTGGGAGAGAGGGAACACTGTTTTCAATTATTGCAGGAAAAACTTACATATATACCTCATGATTCAGCACTTGATAGTTATATTTATAACAATTAACTGTTATATGTTCATGCATGAAAGCTGCATTTCAGATTTATAGAATTGGTTGAGTGTTTATGTGATGTCAAAAGATTTGAGTGTTGTGCATGTAAATAGAACTGTTTTTGATTATGTAAACATATAAAAATTTTGTGGTGTGTATGTAAATGCTCCTTTTGTTTAAGGATGATTTACATACATGTCACTTAATTTCTAAACTTGTCTAATATCCGAACTTTCAAATTATATATATATACCACCAATGGGAGGAACATGCCACTTTTTTTAAGGGGAACAAACCGCTTCTCTAGACCAAACGTGGGAGGGGCTAGAGCAACGAAAGACAATGATATTTCAGGAGCGGCAAAACTGATAATTCAGGAATGAAAAAAGACTAAATTACTCTCTCATATAAGTAAAAACCTTGACATTACCTGGGTGCACCCCTGATGCCACCTTATATGTGCATGAAAAGGTATATCTCACTTTCTTAAAGTTAAAATAATGGTATTTTTTATGTGATATGAAAGAATATAGGAGTTAGATGTATAAATGCATTATAATTGAATGGTATGTGTGAAAATGCCCCTTGTTCTAAAGGAGATTTACATGGATACTATATAATTCTTATGTTGGTATATATATATATATATATATGTGTGTGTGTGTGTGTGTGTGTGTGTGTGTGTGTGTGTGTGTGTGTGTGTGTGTGTGTGTGTGTGTGTGTGTGTGTGTGTGTGTGTGTGTGTGACATCTAAATTATGCTATTTACTTTATCTAATGCCAGAAACTTAACATCAAATAAAATAGAACTGTTAAGATTAATTACTCTAAAGTGGAATGCATCTTTTCATGGATATACTTCGATATGATACTAAAAATGAGTGTTATATGAGTAAATATCTATGTTGAGGTGTTAGATATGCAAAGATATAAGTCAGATGTATCACGGCATTGTGATGACAAAGTCCTGATTAAAGATGGAAATGCTAATATTAAGAGTTATGATGAGAGGGGATTCAACATGCATAGAGGGGGGGAGTAAGAAGACAAATTTGAAGACTTCTCTTAATTGATTGCAAAATAAACAAGTAATTGTCATTAAATTAATAATTTACCCCTTAATAAATCCTTTTGCACAATACAAAAGTTAAAAAAATAAAAGGAAGAGTTAACTACAAGCCACACAATTCCTGGGTGTTTACATATCTAAAACATCAATTTCAATTTTTACATATATGTCGACTACACTATGTATGAAAGCATGTATTTCATCTTTTAAAAATTAAAATCTTAAAATTTTGATGTAATATGAAAGATTGAAGGTGATGTCAATGTAAAACAAAACAAAATCTAGGTATTTGAAATATAAATACATAAGAACTAGGTGGTTTGGGGCTTAAAATTTTTGCCCCGCCGAAAGCAGTGGTGAATAAAGTGGGTTGTAAACTTTGTTTATAAAAAAAATGTGCAAGAGATGCATGTTAGGAGTCATATTTGAGATCTCTCTATAATTTGATGAATATATATATATATATATATATATATGCTGACAGTTGTGTTATTTTAGAATTAGTTATTAAAAAATAAAATTTATCATATCAAAGAAGTAAAACTGATAAAGCTTATAGTATAATTTGATCTCATTTGATTTTATTTTAATTTGCATCTTAAGAAAAAAAATTTAAAAATTATAGATAATATTTGTCAAGCATTACAAAAAAGACAATATATATGTGTGTGTGTGTGTGTGTGTGTTCTATATATAGTATTGTCTACCGATTCTTTTGTTGGTAGAGTTTGTAAGACTTCTGGAGTCACGGGTTCATCTAACAGCGTCTGACCAATCTTTTTTATTATAT